ACCAGAGTAAGTCCCAGACATTGATCAGCAGAGAGAAATTCAAACATTAAGAGAATAGAGGAGGCCCAGCAGGGTCCAATGCCAGAGTCTGGGGTGGGCATACTGATGCAGGCTAAAGCTCAGGAAGGAAGATCAGGGTTTGCGATGGGGGCTCCCAGGGTGTGCAGAGTCTGTGAAGTGTCTGAAAACTGCTCACACCAGAGCCGTCGCCATGGAGGAAGGGAAGAAGGCTGCAGATGAGTCAGGCCCAGGGCATGCTGGGGGAGCAGGGAGGAACAGGCTTATCGGGTAAGGGAGAAGCAGGACTGAGGGGAGGCCAGATCCAGGCTTCCCGGCTCCCACCGCCTAGTTGTCCCCCTCCACACATCATCCCACACGGTGTTCAAACAGAAACGAAGAAGAAACACAGACATCCTGGATCCTGCAGGGAAGAGGCCAGGCCTGGGAACAGAAGAAAGTCTGTTTATTCCTGGCAGCCCACTATCTGAAGGGCCCCACACCCACTTCTGTCTAGATCCTAGGCTGAACTCTCCCAGAGCCTCTGACTTCTGCCAGACCAGATTGCATGGGTCTGAGGGCCACGCGTCCTCTGGAACCCGGGATCTGCCCACTCACCAGCTCCCTGGAGGATAGATTTGAGGCTGGATGATTTCTTCTTGCCAGTGACAGAAGTCCTGTCTCCCCAGGACCCCTGACTGTGCAGGGTTGGCAGAGGTGGACTTCTCAGGCCTCCAGCCCATCAGGCCTCGCCCTCTCTCAGAGAGCCCAGAAGTCCCCTTGCTTATTCCACGTGTGCTCTTCAGTGAGAAAGTTTTTCTCACATCTCACCTCCAGCTTTCTTGCCTTTTCCCCCATTTCAGGCCTCAGAGGAGAATGTCTGGATCCCTCACCCCAAGCCACAAAGCTGATCCAAGGTGGAAATTGGGCACCACCGCTCTTGGCTTCCAAAGGCCAGTGTCCTCAGTTTAGTTTCCCTATGGAGTGGAAGTGTCATTCTCCCCATGTTTGTCATAAGGCTCTGCCTTTCTCAGCTGAATTCTCTCTTAGAGAGGACACATGGCTGGAAGGAAAGTACATGCAAAGAAGGGCAGAAATTCTAATAATGTCAGTAATCATAGCTACCCTTTCGTTGAGTGCTTATCAGATGCTAAGTGCTGATCCAAATCCTTGTCACACATTAACTCATTTAATCTCACAATAAAAACAAAACCAACTCAGTTGCTGTCAAGTTGAGTCCAACTCAGGACAACCCCATGTGTGTCAGCAGAACTGTATTCAACAGGGTTTTCAATGGCTGACTTTTCAGAAGTACATCACCAGGCCTTTCTTTTAGGTGGATTTGAACCACTAACCTCTTGTTTAGCCAGCCAAGTGTTTAACTGTTTGGCCACTGTTCTAGTTACCGGCTCTGACAAGAATATACCACAAATGGGATGGCCTTAACAGTTTATTCTCTTAGAGTTTGAAGGCGTTATGTCCAAGTTCAAGGTGCCAGGCTGTAGGGGCTGTGTGAAAGACCCTTGACCTTGGTCTTCACCTCTGCCTCTTGCTCCCAGTCCACTGAAGCTAGAGGCATCTCTTCACTCAGGCAGCTACTGGCTGCTGAGGCTGACGAGCCCAAGGTCAACAAATAAAAAGGCACAATCACAGTGTTACCAAACCACACACACAGCAGGCCAAATTCAAGTCCATTGAAAGTCTCAAGGTTGGCAGAGCATGGCAGAGGCTGCTGAACAACAACACGACTACATGCAGGGTTCAAGTGTGCCATAAGCTAGAGACAATTCCCAAAGCTGTTTCTTATATACGGGTAGCAGACCAGACACCCAAAGGCAGCTACTCGTAGCTGCTCACAGTAGATTCCACCATGGAGTTGATTCCCAGTCTCATCTTGAGAAACTATATCCAGCTGCCCAGCTACTCAACCAGGCCCAGCCAAGTTGACTGACAAACTTAACCACCACAGCCACCTATAAGCCCATTTTGTAGATGAGGAAACCAAGGCAAGAGAACTTTGTGCTTTGCCCATGTTCACACACAAAACAAGGGGGTCCTAATCAGGTTTCTAACTGGGATTTAACCCAGGCTATCTGATTGCAAAGCTGTCTCAGGCCTCTTACTCATCATGGAAGAGAAAGGAAAAGTCATTTGTTGACACACTCCTCCCATCTGGTGTTGGGCATGGGAATCTATGCCGTTACATATGTTATCCCATGATATCCCCACAACCCTAAGAGGTGATTTTTCTTGTTTCTGTTTTATAGAAGAGAAAATTGAGGCCCACCACCCAAGTGACCCCATACCCAAAGCCATTTGTACCTCATAGCCCAGGATTTGACTCAGAAAGTAGTTGAGAAAAGTATGGAATCATCCCAGATTCAGAAAGGCAAGGCTGGCCCTGTGCAAGTAGTCCCCAATTTACAATGGGTTCTGGTCTGAGGACTCTGCTGTGTGTTGGTTCCACCTCGTTGTTGTGTTGTTATGTGCCGTCGAGTCAGACCCGACTCATAGCGGCCCCTCCTTGGGTTTCCGAGGCAGTGTCACTACGGAAGTAGATTGCCTCATCTTCCTTCCGAGGAGTGGCTGGTGGGTTTGAACTGCCAGCCTTCTGGTTAGCAATCAAGTGCCTTAGGCACTACGCTAACAGAGCTCCCTCAGTGTTATTTTCAGTATCTTTTATTATCAGTATCTTTATAAATCACAATATTGAACATCTGCAAGTGAACCTTTGAGAAAGAAAACATCAGCAAATTATGTTCAAACTCATCATAAGTCCAATACGTTGTAAGTTAAGACCACCCGCACAATGAGAGACCCTTCAGATGACTGGATAGCGGTGGCTGTTAGGTGCCAATGAGTGGATTTCACGACTCCATGTGACAGTAAAACTGTCCTATAGGGTTTTCCAGGCTGTAATCTTCATGGGAGCAGATCACCAAGTCTTTCTCCTGCTGGGTGAGTTCGAACCACCAACCTTTCAGTTAGCAGTCACCAGGGCTCCTTGATGGGAAGGGAAACACCCAAGTTACTGTCACCTTCCCAGACACACACTTACACTACCTTTTAACAGACGTTAGAATTATGGAGCTGGAGGTGCTGTCAGCTGGCTGGCCACTCCCAGGGGTTAAGGCTCATAAAATGTAAATGTAAATTTGCTGAGGTAGGAAGTGGGGAGGGGCAAACCAAATCATTATTATTCATTAGCTCTCATGTATTTCTCAGATTAGCTGGGCAGTAGCAGGCAAGAAGGTTCCAAGCTAGGGTACCCTGAGAATAGGGGAGCTGCCACCTAGGTGGCGGAATGGCTGGTGGCTGGGGTGGGGGAAGCACTCAGTGGGAGACCTCCCGTTGATGCAGCCCAGGGTGCACCAGATCCCACCCCTAGAGGCGGGGCGGGGCCGGGCTGGGGCGAGGGAGCCCCGCTGGCCTCAGCTCTAGCATCCCTCTGGAAGCCCAGGCGGGGCAGAGCCCAGGCAGCCGATCCCAGGCTGTGCTCCCTGCACTCACCGGCCCGAACGTCAGACCCAAAGCCCTGTGGGACTGGTGGCAGTCATGTGAGTAACCCCCTCACGGCCACACTTCCACATCTCAGCCCCAGATCCTGGAAAGGCCACCATCCCCAGCCCCAGCCACTGAAAAGTCACACCTGGGGGCTGATCCTTGCCTTTCTTGCTGCTCCGGTGGAGGTGGGGTGAAGGAACCGCTCCGGGGTAGGGCCGGGAACTCCACCTCAGGACCCCAGAGGTCTTGGGGAGGAGGGGTTAACAGAATTGATGGTCCTCTCAGGGAGGGGACAGAAACTGGAAGACCTGGGAGACAGAAAGATGCCCCCAGTGGAGGGTACTTGGTGAAACTGAGGAAGAGGGAAGGGGAAAGGAGCATGGAGGCTGGGGACTCCTGAGAGAACTGGGAACGGAAAGAGGCCTCTCCCTCCCTCAGGGTGGCCGTGGGCCCTCTGATCCCTGTCCTGGCAGAGGGTGGGGGAACTAGGTAAAATCCTTTCCTTATTGACTTTATTCCTAGCAACAGAAGCTGCTTCCCTATTGACAGAGCGGAAGCACTCACAGGACCCTCTGGTCCTCAGGAGGTGGTGGCGGGAGGCCCATGGCGGCGCTGGGGCGCTGAGAATGGGGAAGGAAAGGAAGGGACAGAGAGGCTGGGCCCTGCCTGGGCTCCACCCTCTTCTCTGGCTCAGCTGTAGGGGGTCCTCTCCCTGCTGCTGGCATCTCCATGTCACTGCCACGCCACCCCCACCAATGGCAGCTCTCCTTCCTCCAGCTCCCAGGAAGGGCCCTGTTGCTAGTGTGGAGCATAGGAGTCAAGTTTATGGGCTGGAAGTCCTACCGGAGGCTGCTCACTGAGCTGGAACTGACTACAAGGATGGATGGGGGGAGGGAGTCCAGGAGACAGGGCACCCTGTTTGCTGCCACCCCTTGCCCTGACACCTGCCTCCTCATTCATGTGAGTGCCTCACTCCTGCCCTTAACCCTTTAGTAATGTAACATCTGGTGTAATGCTCTGGGGCCATTACGACTTCATTGCACCCAACCAGCAAGTGAGCATCTGAAGACAGGGAGCCCCTCATTCATCCCAGTAACTGCCCTCAGCACCTGGCCACCGCCCAAACGTTGGCTGCTGGAGGACACTCACACCAGCTCCTAGCCTCTCCTTTGGCAAATTTAGAGGCCTGGCCAGGCAGAGGCAGAGGATGGACAAAATAAATACTTGAAGTTGGGTGGGGCCACCTTCCAGTCAAGACATCAACAGAAACCAAAAATAAGGTATTTTATACAAACTTTTGCAAAATTGCCAATTTATTTTAAGAAGTATTATGTGCCAGCGAACAGGACATGGCTCACCGCCTGTCCACACCTTTGGATTAATGGGTACCTCCCTCCGGAAGCACAGTGACCTGTGAGGACCCCCTAACTCTGGCTCCCCCATCCTCCATCTAGGAATGCTGGCTGCTGCTCCAGGCCTCCCCTCCCCCAAGGCTCAAGATGACACCCAACAGCACCAGGGAGGTGGCCAGCCCCCTTCCCACAGGGACCCTGGGGCTCTCCCTGGCCCTGGCAAGCCTCATTGTTGCTGCCAACCTGCTCCTGGCCGTGGGCATAGCCTGGGACCGCCGCCTCCGCAGCCCACCCGCCGGCTGCTTCTTCCTGAGCCTGCTGCTGGCCGGGCTGCTCACAGGGCTGGCACTGCCCACACTGCCAGGACTGTGGAACCAGAGCCGCCGTGGGTACTGGCCCTGCATCCTCCTCTACCTGGCCCCCAACTTCTCCTTCCTGTCCCTGCTCGCCAACCTCCTGCTGGTGCACGGGGAGCGCTACATGGCAGTGCTGCGGCCCCTCCGGCCCCGCGGCAGCACCCGGCTGGCCCTGCTCCTCACCTGGGCTGGCCCACTGCTCTTTGCCAGCCTGCCAGCTCTGGGTTGGAACCACTGGGCCCCTGGGGCTAACTGCAGCTCCCAAGCTATCTTCCCAGCGCCCTACCTCTACCTTGAAGTCTACGGGATCCTGCTGCCTTCGGTGGGTGCTGCCGCCCTGCTCTCCGCCCGTGTCTTGGCCACTGCCCATCGCCAACTGCAGGACATCCGCCGGCTGGAGCGGGCTGTGTGCCGTTGTGCACCCTCGGCCCTGGCCCGGGCCCTCACCTGGAGGCAGGCAAGGGCGCAGGTGGGAGCCACGCTCATCTTTGGGTTGTGCTGGGGGCCCTACGTGGCCACACTGCTGCTCTCGGTCCTAGCCTATGAGCAGCGCCCCCCGGTGGGGCCCGGAACTCTGTTGTCCCTCATCTCACTGGGCAGTGCCAGTGCGGCAGCCGTGCCTGTGGCCATGGGTCTAGCTGATCAGCGTTACACAGCTCCCTGGAGAGCAGCTGTCCAAAGGTGGCTGCAGGGGCTTCGGGGAAGAGCCTCCGGGGGCAGTCCCCACCCCAGCACTGCCTACCACACCAGCAGCCAAAGCAGTGTTGACCTTGACTTGAACTAGAGGGGGAAATGGTCTTTGCTGACTGCTGCTAGAAACATCCCTCTATCTCAGCCACCAAACCCGCCTCTCCCATGGCCCCTACCCCTGGATCAGAGACCCTGCCCCTTATTTGGCCCCACCCTGGCTTAATAAAGCTCTCTGGCCCAGTTTATGGTTCCCTCATTCCACTTAGAAAGGGAGAGGCCAGCAAAATAGCTCCAGAAAGAACCTCAAGAACAAGCCATGTGTATCAAGGGAGAGCCCAACCCGGACATGCAGGCAATTGTGGGGAACAACTGACAACCGCCTGAAAGAGCTGTTGTTGTTATGTGCCACTGAGTCGCACCCGACTCATAGCGACCCCTCCTTGGGTTTCCGAGGCAGTACCACTACAGAAGTAGATTGCCCAACCTTCCTTCCGAGGAGTGGCTGGTGAGTTTGAACCGCCAGCCTTCTGGTTAGCAGTCAAAGTGCCTTAGGCACTATGCTACCAGAGCTCCCCTGAAAGAGCTGAGGGGCCTTGAAACCCAACAGATCTTTTGGGAACCCTCACCTGACATGCCCAACCACCACAAAAACCACACAAACATGTCTCTGGGAAGTATATTTTATTTACATTTTTAAAATCTGTAACTAGTATCTCTTCTTCCTTTCCAACCCCACAGACTTGGGAAGGGAAAGGAAGGGAACCTCAAAGACCTGCTCCCCACATACAAATACGCACCCCAATGGCTCACACCAGCAAGTGAAGGTGAAAGAGGGAGAGGTCAGAGCCTCCCTCTGAAGGACCCCGCAGGTCTGGCCAGGGGCAGAGAGGGAGAGGCCTGAGGGGTGGGTCTCTAAAGAGAAGGGACAGGGAGGGGGCAAATCAGTTTGAAGGGATTGAAAGTAGTCCAGGCCCCCTCCCCTACTCTCCCCTTGGTACCCTACGGCCTCTGCTAGTGAGGAGGAGGAAGCCCTTCATCCCCTCAACACCAGACACAAAGCCAGAGGCAGCACTCTTTAGCGGTCAGGTCTCTGGACACAAAATACTTTCGCTTTGTGGTCTCCTGATGTGGTCACCACCAGGGAGGCGTCTCTGTGGACAAAAAGCACAGGGTTGGGGGTCTGGCCCCAAGCCAGCTACCCAGGGATCTGGGATGGTCTCAGCTCTTCAAGTGCTTCCTGAATTCTGCTTCCTGGCACCCAGTGCCATGCCACCACATCCACACTGAATGAGCACAGTAAAGCTGGTACCCGGCAAGGGGATCCTGTGAGGAGAGTGGCCAGCACAGGAGCAGTAGAGCCAAGGTGGGTGGGGGAGGCAGTCTCAGTCCTGAGACTGAGGTGTAAACCACTGGGTGGGGCTAGATCGGGGTTCCCAGCATTCCTGCGCCACCCCCCCACCCCCCGCCAGGGCCAGGCCTTGGGGCCTGACTTCCCTTAGGAATCCTCTCCACACCCAAGGACCCTCCTCATGCTACTCCCACCTTCCCAGAACACATCTAGGTCCCAGCCTTTGCCCAGTTCCCTTACTTGCTGAGAGCGAAGTCAAGGATCTCGGCTGTGTGGCCCCGGTAGTCGGTGAGCAAGCGGCCGGTGCGAGCGTCCCAGAGGCGCACGATGCCATCCAGGCTGCAGGTGTAAACCACGGCTGTGCCCGCCTCCCACAACAGCTGCACGATGCCCGACTGTGCACAGGATGACAGAGGCAAGGCAGGGTCAGGGGTGTGAATGTAAGAGGCACCTACTCCCAACTCTCAGGAGGAGGGGAGGCTTGGAAATAAAGGATGGGAGGGAGAGAAGAAAAGGGGGTACCATGGGGAAGGACCAAGTCAGAGCCAGGTCTGGGGTAGACATTCCCCATGGGGAGCCCAGCTCTACGCTGCCTGTACCTGGTGCTGACACTGGTGCCTGAGGGTCTGTGTAGACAGGTCATAGATGGCCAAAGTCCCATCCAGGTAGCCAACAGCAGCCAGAGGCATTCTAGGCAAAGGAGGGTATCATGAAGGCTCATAGAAGACCCTGGTCTCACCTGCCTTTGCTCCTCCTGCTCCCCAGCCCAGGCCCCCTCCCACAAGTCCCCTGCCCCCACCATGACTGCCTGAAACCACAATCCTGGCCCAAGTCTCTGGCCCTTGGCCAGCTCAGTGCCCCCACCTCCAGGCCTAGGCCCTGGGTCCCACTCACACACTGCAGAAGCCCAAGGACTCCACTGAGTTCGACTCGCTCTCTTCCCCCTCCCCCAGGCTGGGCTGGGAGGCCACAGTCTCAGGTCTGAAAACGCCCACCACCTATGAGCAAGAGAACGAGAAGAGGGACTGGATCTTGGTCCTTGGGTAGAAAAGAGAGGCAGCAGAGAAAGGAAACAGGATGAAGAATAAGAAAGGAAGAGGAGACAAGCAATGGGGGGCTCCAGAGCCAGGGTCCAAGACCCACTCACCTTGCCAGTGGTGGCACTGACCAGCTTGGCCTGGCAGTCCACAGAGCCAGTTAGGATCAGACTGCCATCCTGGTTGGCGGCAACACAGGTCAGAGGGCCCTGGTGACCCTCAGTCCCTAGGATGGAGCAGGGGGGCAGGTTAAGCTTCATCCTGTCTCCCCTCTGACTCTTGGCCAGGCTCAAGGCCACCTCCCCACACAGGCCCAGGCAGCAACTCCCCCACCTCCAATACCTTTTAGTACATGGATGGGGTTTCCCTGCTTCAAGTCCCAGATCCGGATGGTGCCGTCTTCATAGCCCACCACAGCTCTCTTCCCTAGAGGCCCCCAGAGGCAGAAGACGACGGGGAGGAAGTGCATACCCATATACACCCAGCAAGGAGGGGTGGGGAGGACGGACAGACAAGGGCACACACAGGGGACTCCATCCACAGTTTAGGGTAGGAAAGGAACCAGGAGGCTTTGGGGCCAGGAGGCCAGTGCCCCAGAGATCAGGCTTTAGGGTTTGCCAGATGTGGCCCAGGAGGGAGTTTAGGCAGGTACAGTACCCTGGACTCAATCTCTCTGTATACCAAAAAAAGGACCCTCAAGGGAGCTGCCCTCACCATCTGGGAGGACTCGGCCACAGGTAGATGGACAGTTGGGGCCCTGGAAGGTCTTGCAGTCTCCATTCGGGACCTTCCACATCCAGGTGTTGCCATCAGCTGTGCCCGCCAACAGGACAGGTGCGCGTGGGTGCCACTCCATCCACTGGGCAGACAGAAAGGGTCAATGGGGATGTCAGCCCATCCCACCTGGGAGACTGCCTCGTGACCCTGACCCAAGCTTTCTCTGTTTCTAGGGTCAACAGGGCCTTGCCTGGTAACAGGTGTGGACATTCCTACTGCTCCTGGTGTACATTAGCTCAGAGTGAGCTTGGTCTGGTAGAGGCAGGACCAGACCCCCAGCCTCTCACCCCCTATCAAAGACTTGCAGAATTGAATCCCACTCTGATGGCCTCACCTCCAAGTCTCCTGCTTCAAAGGACCAGACTTCCTCCTTAGTGTCCACCTGCCACACTTTCAAGAGGCCACTCATGTCTCCTGTGGCCACAAGGGTAGAGTCATGGCTGAAACCAGCACAAGTCACAGAATCTTTATGGCCTACAAAGGAAAAGAAGCGGAAAGAGAAAAGAACATCAGGGTACTCAGCACTGGGTACAATACCCCTCAAATAACCAGCTGGGAAAAAAAGGAGTGGAACACAGAACAGGTGACCAAACCTATTGCCACTTCAGGAACCAATTCCCTCAGGTCCTCTCATGAAAGACACTACTGACCCCTACTTAAACAAAGGTAGCCTTGGCCTCCTGAGTCTGATCCCCCTGTCCACTCTCAGCACCAGCCTCAAACACCCACATCCTTTCCTCCATCCAGTTATGCTTTCTGTAATGTCACCTCCTCTCAGACCTTTCCTCCTAGGTTCCCTTGGTTAACTGTTGCTTCCCTCTTCTGTGCCCACAACAGACCTTGTTATTCTTTTGTGTGTTCCTGGGGCCCAGCATAGTGCTGGCACAACACACGTGTCAATAAATAGCTGTTGGATGTACAACCACTGCAGGTCAGCCTCCTAAAACCCCCAAAAGGGACACCACCTCCTCCAGGCCCCTCACCTGCACACTCAAAGAGCAGTTCCCCATCACTGAGCCGCCACACGAAGGCTTTGTCATCTTCACCCCCTGTCACTGCCAAGGTATTGGTCTTGGGGTCCAGGCTCACACAAAACACAGATGCTGTCCCAAGAGATAGTCCATGAGTAAGAGGACATGGCACCCACCTAGAACTCTGGCTTTCAGGACTTTGGGCCACTCCATGTATCACCCAAAGCACACAACTTTCCTCCTAGAGAGAAAGGGTGCATTCAAGTTTTTCTAAATTCCAATGATCAGGTTGTGGGAGAAAACTCCTTCTCCAGGGCAGATCCTTCACCTCCCCCCACAACCCCCTGCGACCTACTGTCTCCCCCCTCATATCCCACACTAATGGACAAGAGTGGGTTTGCGTACAAGGCAGTTCTCCAAACGGGCTGTCACTAGGCTGGATACAAAGTAAGGAGAGCATCGTGTTGTGGTTCTCTTGTTAGAAGCTAATATGCAAAAGGATTACATAAAATGTGCTTTAAAGATACAATCATCTCTAATTAAGGTGCCCTGCTGGCACAATGATTAAGTGCTCACCTGCTAACCAAAAGGCTGGTGGCTGGAGCCCACCAGCTGCTCTACGGGAGAAGAGACCTGCTGACCTGCTCCTGTAACATTCACCCTGGATGGTGGTTCTACCCCATCCTTGTCATGAGTCAGAACTAACTTGATGACACACACTACCTCGGACCTACAAGGTAACTTTGACTAACTTTTATCAAAAGTAAAAAAAAAAAAAAAAGAAGACACAGAGATGTTAATAAAGGTCCTAAATTGGTAAGCTGCAGCGCTAGGATCTGAACTCAGGCTGTCTCAGTCACCTGGAGGCAAGCTCTCATCCATTTCACTACACTGTGCCTTACCTGTGAGTTCCTCCCAAGGCAAGGTCAGCATCTTTTCTCATATCTGTGTCTCCCAAAACACTCTGCACATAATGTTTGATGCTCAAATGCCCAAATGGACTGAGTTCAAAGAGGCCTTGACCACCCAAAGGAAGGACTGTATTGCCATGTTGAGGTATGAATGGGGAGGCACCAAGGCAGATGACGGCTGGGGCAGCCGCTAGTCCTGGGGTCCCAATCCCAACGCTAAAGTGGATTTTGAGAGGCCTACCTGAGTGCAACGCAAAGGTGACCTCGCTATCATCCGGGCCCTCCATGCTGCCGACCACCCCTTCCTGGGGTTCCAGAACCCAGCCCTCCTCATTGCCTTCCTCCTCTTCTTCCTCTTCCTCAAAGTCTACATCTTCCATCTCCTGGGCCAGATCGTCTGCTTTGGGAAGAGTTAAAAGATGGGGGTTTGAAAGGCGGTGACAGGGATGGGGAGAAGTGTGAAGAGATCTGAGGACAAGAGTGGGTCATGTGGCAAGAAGGGGGAGGTGGGGTCCGACAGCCGGGGTGGAGGGAGGATGAGAAGCCGCAGGGTGGAGGGGCGTGTGGGAGGGAGGACAGGAGGAGCGGTGGGCAGACTCGGGTTTGGCCAGAGATCGTGTGGGAAGAGAGGATCGAGGGAATGATGGGAAGGGGGTGTGTGAGGGGAAGGGCCAGGGGAGGCGTCAGGGGAACCCCTACCCAGGCTAGGCCAGACAACTAAGTGTGCGTGGGAACGGGGAAGGGATGTTGATCAGAATGACCGGTGAGGTGTGGGGGAGGGGGGTGCAGCAGGGGTCAAAGGCTAGGGGTGAGCGCCTCCTGTCCCATGGCCTGAGGAGCGGCAGTTCTCACCCGGGTCTGGCGGACCGGGATCCAGTTCTACCACCTCGATAATCTCTTCATCGCCATGGAAACTTAGAGTCTCCAGTGGGGGGGTGTCAGCAGCGGCCCCGGTTTCCGATTCGGACTCCATGCGGCGCAAGCAGCCGATCCACTTCTCTGGGCCCAAACACCTCCCAGAGTCAGCTCTGCGCGACGACACGGAACTCGAGCCCCTCCTCCCGGGAGGAAGTAGGCGTAGGCAACACCCCGGCAGGAAGAGCGACGGCCGCTCGGCCAATAGCGAGGGCGACTGACTGGCTGAACCACCAATCACAGGGCAGAGTTGGGAGAAGGTACGGGGCGTGGCAAGGAGACTATAAACCCCGCCCATCCTGACTCCACCCCTAACAAGAGTGAAACAAACGAGCGTGCGCGCCGCCGGGATCTCATGGGAATAGTAGTTCTCCCGGGTCCGCTCCGCGGGCTTCTGGGAGTTGTAGTATCTAATCTGTAGGCAGGACGGAAGGAGCGGGGGAGGCCCCTTACGCAAACTACAATTCCCGACGGGGAGCGCGGTGAAGGGGGGTGGGATTTGAACATGGCGGCGGTGGTAGCTGCTACGGCGCTGAAGGGCCGGGGGGCGAGAAATGCCCGCGTCCTCCGGGGTAAGAAGAGGGACCCCGGGGAGGGCAGGACTGCAGGAGATTACTTTTCTTTCACATCCCGCCCGGCAGATACCAAGAGGTCAGGGCGGTCCTTCCATGCCCACACCCTTCTGCAAGATCTTAAGAGTCTGGGGGCTAAAACATGTTCTCCAGAGGTCACCCAGACCATCCCCTGCCTTCGGGTTGTACGACACCTCCGGGGTCTCGCTGCGAGAGGAAGCCTCAGGGAAGCCTTTTAGACTCCCACGCTCCAGGTGTTTCATACTCACCGCAGTGCAGAGGAAAGAGCCCTGGGCTTCTGGAAGCTTGGATTCTAGCCCCGATAATTAGCGACTTGACCTTGGGCGAGGGAGTTCATCTCTCGTAGCTTCAGTTTTCTCTTCTGTAAACTGAGGGGATGGAATAGGCTATCTTTAAGCTCCCTACCAGTTCTAACATTCTGTAGTTTTAAAACCTTTCCCCGGAGAGCCTTCATACGTCTCCTGTCAGTCCCACTGCAGTCCTGCCCATTGTGTCGTCTGAGGAGATGAAGACCAGCGAAGCTCGAAGCTAGCTCTCCTGGCACCAGGGTGATGAGCCTGCAGTGACGTGGAAGTGGCTTCTGAAGGTGCCACCTCGATGGCGATTTTCCCATTTCCCTTTGGAGTCTCCCTGACATTCGTGACTCCAAACTGCGATCACGCCCCTTCCTCAGATCTCAACCACTCTTCCGCAGCCCCTCATCCCCTCATTCTGACCTTCTTAACCTCGATCCACAGGAATTCTCTCAGGAGAGAAGGCTTCTCACAACAGGACCCGGGCACTGCAAAGCCACAGTTCCCCAGAGTGCAAGGAGGAACCTGAGCCCCTGTCTCCTGCGCTGGAATATATTCCCAGAAAGAGGGGCAAGAATCCCATGAAGGCTGTGGGACTAGCCTGGTGAGTTTTAACCACTCCTTTGCCCACCAATAGGGAGTGGAATCCAAGGGAGGGCAGGACCCAAAAACTTCTTCAAGTTTCAAATGGTGAGCTGAATCCAAGGTGTGAAAACAGAATTGCTGGGTGCAAGGATTGGAATGTCAGAGGAATTGGGCAGGGGAGGTGGGGAGGTGTGTGGAATTGAGAGGATGGGTTTTCTGTGGAGTAAGTGGAATTGATCTGGTTCACATTCGAGTCTCTGGCTTCATCTTCCCTGTCGGGAGTTTGGGGTGAGATCCAAGTTCCAGTAATGAATTAATCAAAATTCTGTGAGATTGTGTTAGCTATATGTAGCATCTGAAAGGTATTCAGTGTTTGGATCTGACTCTGACCTTGATACCTATTTATTAATATTACAGAGAAAGGAGGGGAAAATGAACTCTTTTTCAGCACCTGGGGTGTGCTAGTACTTTATAGTGTAATTTGTTAGTTTTTCTGAGATAAGTATCACATCCCTGTTTCACGGAGAAGGGAACTGAGGCTCAGAGCTGGAATTTTCACCAAGTCTTGGGACTCCATGCTCTTTCCCCCACATCAAAGTGCCTACCAAGTAACAATTACTCAGATTAAGGAGGGGGTTCTGAGAAGGAATAGGGGGCAGTTCAGGCATAGAGAGCCTTTGCCAAGACTTGGAGAGGGAGAGAGGATGGACTTTCCCGAAGATCACGCACAGTGGGGCAGGAGTACAGGGTTCTTGTCGGGGATGGGGAGAGGGGAGAAGAGGTGGGCAGAAACCAGCCCCCCTGGGCCTTGTGTGCCATGCCTAGGAGTTTGGACTTGGCCAGCAAGTGACAGCGAGCTGTCATAGGGTTTTAAGCAGGGCAGCACAGGATCTGATTCGTGTAGAGCCTTCTGGCAGCCAGCAAAAATAGAGACGAGGTGTTGCGGTATTCATGTGACTTGTACCTTTCGAATGGGATTCTCCCCAACTCCTCTGGCTCAGGTCAGCCCCTCTCCAAACCCCGTGCACATCTCCCCACCCCTAGGGCCATCGGCTTCCCCTGTGGTATCCTCCTGTTCATCCTCACCAAGCGGGAAGTGGACAAGGACCGTTTGAAGCAGATGAAGGCTCGGCAGAACATGCGGGCGTCCAACACGGGCGAGTATGAGAGCCAGAGGTTCAGGGCCTCCTAACACGCCCCATCTCCTGGAGCTGGGACTGGTACAGGCCAGAGGAACACTGCAGACCTCCCCTAGGTTGTATTGACCATGGGCTTCCTTGGGATTGGCTGACTCTGGTCCTGCCACTGAGGTCCAGCAGGGGGCGCGTGAAGCTCAGGCTGCTGCCAGCTCGGGCCCCACCCACCCTGAGAAGCCAGCCAAAGGCAAATAAAGTTACTGAGTGTTGGAGTGGAAAGGAACTGGGCCTGGGTTTGTGAGTCCCTGGGGATGGGAAGGGTAAAGGGTGGGGCTGGTTACTCATGTGTGCTCCCTCTCACAGAAGCGCCCAGTGTTCCGGCTGGATGCTGGGGAAACCACAGAGACTTAAGCTCAACAAGCCTAGTCTTGAGCCCTGGGACCAAGCCCTCGGAGCTCCTGGCCAGGAGGGTGGGATCACACTCAGCCTTGAAGTACATAATAAAAGGAATCAAATAAGACACATAGGGTGTGGAGGAAAAAGCATTCTAGACCAAGTCCAAATGACAACCTCTCTGGGCCTCAGTTTCCTCATTTGTAAAAGGGATTTAGACTAGCAATTTCTCAGGCAGGGGTTCTGAACCAGGGGTCCATGCCCTACCCCACGTGCAAAATTGTGTGCAGCTTTGTAGAGAAGAGTTGATAGCCCTCATGAACTTTTTGAAAGGGTCCATGACCCAAAAAAGGTTAAAGCAATGCCACTCTTGAGAGGTCCCTTCTAGATCCAGTGTACCAAAAATACCAAACTCTTTGCTATTGAGTCGATTCAACTCATAGTGATCCCTCCTTGGGTTTCCGGAAGTATCTTTCTTCCGAGGAGTGACTAGTGGGTTTGAACCATCAGCCTTCTGGTTAGCAGTCAAATGCCTTAGGTACTACGCCACCAGTATGGCAGGAGTGAATTCCCTCTCTCCCCAGCCGATTGTTGAGCCTTTGCTAGCCTATGTCATCAGGAATCACTGGGCAAAGTGTTACAAGGTTACCTTAGGAAATGGGAGAATCCAAACCAGAATATGGAGTAGGAAATGGATGCTTTCGGCAGAGCTGGCCCAATACTCCAGGGCTGACACCTTCACAGGAAGAAAACCAGAGCCATACGGGGTTTTAACTTGTAGACATAAAACTTTATTACATTTCTGATCTTGTTGCTGTGTGATATATTTAGGATCAAGTACATAATAGAACAGAGTAGTCCTAATTATACCCTTGGGCTGATATAGTTTCCACCCTGACCCCCTTCCAGCTTGAGGCACTTGGTGTTAACAGAGAAAGTGGTGGCTTGCTGGGGTGATGGGGGTCAAGCCTAAAGTACCCCCACAGGAGTAAGAACAAACAGAAAGTCATCTTCTCAGGGTCCTCCCAGGGTTAGCAGAAGGAAAGAACACAGAAGTCTTTGTGGGAACCATGGTAAGCTTAGATAATGCTCAGTGAGGGGGTGGGGATCCCCCAAAGCATCTTCTCCATCCCTGGCCCAGTCTCTCTTCACCCTGTTACTTCCTGTTGTTGTTGTTGTTATGTGCCATCGAGTGGGACCCGACTCATAGTGACCCCTCCTTGGGTTTCCGAGGCAGTATCGCTACGGAAGTAGATTGCCCCATCTTCCTTCCGAGGAGTGGCTGGTGGGTTTGAACCGCCAGCCTTCTGGTTAGCAGTCAAATGCCTTAGGCACTATGCTGCCAGCCACTTATAATCCTACAAGCCATCCTCTGTCCCAACCTCTGCCTCTCACTTTATGCTCTGAGCAAGCAAAAGAAGCAAAGTTGCCTCTGACCAAAGATCTTGGAAGCACCAGGGAGGCCCCAAGCAGCTTTGGAGAATGGAGACCAGATGGCTGAAAACGGACCTGCTCTCCACATCCACCACAAGCTGAGGGAGCCCAGGGCGGTGGTGCTCTGACTAGCCCTGTACTGGACTTTGCTGGCTCTCCTCTTCCCATCCCACCCCCACCCCCGTAAACCACATGTACGCATACTGAAAGAAGGGGTTGAAGCAGGAAGCAGGAAGGCCTAGGTACACAGATCTCCTCTACCTGGCTGAGCTGGCAGGCACCACAGTTGCAAAAGGAGCCCAGGACAATGACCTGTGAGTCTAGGCAACTGGATCAAAGCCCCTGGCTTTGTGGGGCTGAGAGAGGAGACAGCTATAGCTACCAAGCCTAGAAGCCGGTGGTAGAGATAGGAGGGGAAACCTTACCACCTTGAAGTCACTTCCCCCTTTCATATTCCATTTTAGCTAACAGATTAGGCTCTCTCACGCCTTCCCCCTCAGGCCCAGGTGTTAAGAAGAATTTGGTGCCCTGTTGTGGCTAGATGGGAGAAGACATCTTCAGCTTGAGCCCAGCAAGGGCTAGAGTCAGTCCCCAGTTCTTCCAACCCCACCAGGTGACTACAACATCCTGAGCCAGACAGGCCACCATCCCAGGACTAAAAGGAAACTGGTCATATGACTTGACAGGCAGAAAGGGCCCTGATCACAGGACCCAGCCCTCACTCGAGGGAGGGAGAGCCAAGGATGGGGCAAAAATGGGGGTGCTCCTTAGTTGCGGTCCCCCATCAGCTGCAGCACGAAGGTGAAGATGTAGACGATGTCCGTGTAGATCTGCAGGGCACCGGTGATGTAGTCCTCCGGGCTGATGGTGTGCTTCCGGTTCCCCAGAACTAGCTGCGTGTCGTAAGCCAGGAACTGCAGAGACGGGGAAGTCGGTGAGAACCCAGGGCCCCAGGGTCCAGTGCTCACTCCAGGTCAGTAGGTTTGTCCTGCACAGGCTGTGCAGTGTTGAGGAGCGGGTGGGGGTGGGGTGCATTAACAAACCTTCCTCAATCAGCTCACAGTCTAGGAAGGCAGACAGACACTGCAGTCTGTGACACAGCCTGCTAATGGCAGCAGTGTGAACAAGACAAGGCAGGAATACCCAGAAAACCCATGGACACCGCAGGACGGAGGGGAGAGGAAAAGTCACCTATGGCCCTACTCCCCACCCCACAAAGCAGCCTAAATCCACACTCCATTCCCTCAGCTCATCCCTCCCACCCATTAGGCTCCCCTTCCAGGGGGCAGGGGCAGGGACTGACTCACCAGGGTGAAGACAATGGCCCCCAGAGCAGCATAGAGCATGTGAAGCCAGTAAACCTGGGAAAGGGGAACAGGGATGGTTAGGACTTTAGCAGAGCACAGCTGCTCAGGCAGGCCCTCAGGAACTGCTTCCCCCAGGGGTCTAGAATCAGAGTGGGTCGATCCAGGAAGTTAGCCCTCCATAAAAGGACGACGACTGCTTTCCAGATCCTGGAAGAACCTGAGAATGGTGATATATTTGGAAGAGAAAACAGAGGTCATCCTACAAAGCCCAAATAAAGCCAGTAACAGCATCTCTTAGTCAAACCAACCTCCAGAGTGAGTGAAGGTACAGAGGTTTCCATGTTTTCCTGGGATGGTGGATACAAGGTGGCTGAGTTACAGCTCTGGAAGGGCAGACCCAGGCAGGTGCTGACTGAAGAGCCCCATTGCCTTTCCCCTAATCGTGGTCACCATTCAATAGACAGGTTCCTGCAGCCCAGCCCAGGCGGGATGGACTGAGGAAGGATGACTGTGAGGGAGGCCTTCACCCCACCCACCCCAGGAGTATCAGAACCAAGAAGTACCCACAGGGCAGCCCTGCTCTACATTCTGCCACTCCTCGGAAGGGCAAGCCTGCCCAGGTGGCAGGTGGGCCTCTTGTTCATATCCTTCCCCCTTCCACACCCTGTTCTGTGGGGTTCCCCTCAGCCTAGGAACCCCATGCTCTCCTCCAGCTGATGGACTAAAGGAGGAATTGATTACAGTAGTCCCTGAGGTCCTCCCCTGCTCTTGACCCAAACCGATCCTCTCAGTCCACTGAGTTATAGAAGTCCTCAGCCTTGGCCCCAGGTGTCCAACAGATCTAATCCTCCACTTCCCACAGAAATGTGCTGCTGTACAGGGCTTCAGGTGCCGTAGTTCCCAGGGCTACCTGTCCCCAAGTGAAGATTATCCCCTAACCAAAAGGATGGCACTGTGGTGTTGGCACCCCTGCTACCCAGTCAGGAGATTCTGGAGGACAGAGCCTGCCCTTTGGGGCCTGAGTAGGGGCCTATAACACCATGCTGTACAGAAAGCCGCCTCTGAGCACCAGGTTCACTGATTTCAGCTCTCCTGGAATACTCACATATTTGAAGGACAGCACAATGGCAGTGACAATCCCAGTCACCATCAGCACGATTCCCAAGACACAGAAGAGGCCTGCACATGAGGTGAAGTCCACCTGCCAGGAAGGAAGCAGGAGGCAGCTGTCAGAAGACTGCCACCTGCTCCACCAAGCAACCCATCCAGTCTGGCTAGGCCCCAGCCGCCAGGGAGGCCCAGTACTGCCTCCTGCCTCTGCTCAGGGGGCACAGGAGTGACCATGACCTTCCAGGACAGACACAGGAGGCAGTTTTGTAGATGCAATATGAGGGGAAGGGGGTCAGGGGCTCCAAGGGAAATGCCTGGTATAGAGGTCTGGGTTCTCCTATCTCAGAAATCCCTTCTGCTTCTAGGCTTGCTCAACAGCCAAGTCCAAAGGGCCAGGTCTGTATAATAAAAGGAGGGTGGCCAAGGAAGGGCCTCATGTCCTCACCTTGGTCTGAAAGCAGAAGATGGTGACTGAAATGGACACCACGGCAGTGATGATCATTGCAATAAGGACAGCTTTGGTATTATACGTACTGGAGGGGGAAGTCGAGAAAGACCAGAGGCTTTAGCCACACAGTGATGACTTCAAAACCACCACTTCCAGGAAGACCCTGCCCAGAATCCACACATACAAATAAGCCAGCCAGGGATACCCCACTCCCCGCCAGAGTACTGGGGTAAGGTTGTCCTTGACTGTACCTGGCAATGGTGCCCGTCATGAAGCCCATGGCAAGAGTCTGAGGGAGGGACAAAGACGAGAGTGAAACATGAAGAAAGGTGAGGCACGGGGTGGGGGATGACTGTGCTGGGGACAAACATGACTGCGTGGGAACGAGGCAGCCACAGAGGAGACCAAGAGATAAGCGAAGGAGCCAGGGACAGCCTTCTCCAGTGGTTCCCCATGCCCTCCCTGGAGCCAGCCCTTCCTCAGCCCATTTCCTCACCCTCCCAGTACCCTCCTGGGCTTACAAAGAGAGTCAGCAAGATGATGTTCCACGGGAACCGGCGTCTGAAGGGAAAGCAGAACCACCATTAAGGGATGTGAGGCCGTTCAGGTATTACAGACTCTTTGAGCAGGAGGAGGAGCTTGGCTCATGTCCCTGGAGGCCTCTGGTACCTGCTCAGGTGTTCTGTGCGGGGCCAGCACAGAGCAATGGGACAGGTCAGGGGTAGGGAGCCAGAAAAGTCTAGATTCAACTGCAGCCTGCAAGACTGAGAGAGCTACTCAGCCTTTCAGCCCCAAATTCTTCCTAGTTATTAAATGGTTAAAATGCTGCCTCTCTGGCAAGTTGTTTAAGGGAGATAGATACACAGACACACATACATGCGGTCCATGAACACTGGGCCTTTGTATACATCAGAACAGAGCTGCTGTCACCATTACCATCTTTCTTGTAAGTCTCCATTCATCTACCATAAAGAGTCTCCCATTTTGTCCCCAAATACTCTGCCGTTTGCCTATCCTCTGCCATCCCTTCTCGTTGTCTAAGCCTCTGGGACTCACCTGGGTCCCTGGCAGCAGGCAAGGGTCAGGTAGGTGGCCAGGAAGACAGCACTGGGGAGAAAGAGAAGGGGAGACCGTCTGCAGGCCCAAACCACCCCTCAGCCCCTCCTGTGTCACAGAAGCAGGAGGTCCAAAGAGCTCTTTGGGAGACTGAGGGGAAGCTAGGACAAGATACCCCCAGCCAGAGACACTGAGAACCTCTGTGACACCAGGATCCTGGCCAGAAGTAGGTGTAGGGAGGCCGTAGCAGATGGACCACAGGAACGCAGGCCCATTTTGTAGGATGTATATTGCCCCCACAGCGCCCCACCCCTGCATTCACAAGGCCTGTGATTCTCTTATTCCTTGTTTTGGCCCCACATACCCACACTTCCAGACACAGGAATCTGGCAAAGGTGACTTGGAGGGCCCCTCTCAAAAACACTGTGCCTGCCCTGAGGACAGCAGGTCAACTAGAAACAAACTGTCACCCCCTCCTTGCTCCTGAGCAGAGAGCAGCATACACTCACAAGGACGCATAGTAGACGGCCACATTTCTCCTCACGAAACTGCTCACGGGTGTCCTGTAGAGATGGGAGGACAGAGGAGGTTCACACCACAGATTACCTACAGATTACCTACCTCTGCCAAGTCCCACCCGGCAGCCTGACTCCTCCTCATCTTCTCTAATCACCTGCCTCCCAGCTCCCCTTCCCATCCGTCTGTCTCAGACAGCAGGGCTCTCCCCACCCCACACTCCCAGGGCCTCAGAGTGGGGTGAGGAGACCTAAAGACTCACACAAACGTGAAGATGGCAATGATGGCTACTGTGATGAGCAGCTGGATGGAGATGATGGAGTAAACCTGGAACACAGAGCGCCCGGGGGCCACACAGGTCACCAGCCCACCCCTGGCCTCTCCCAAGACCAGAAAGCCCCAGAGACCCTGCCACTGAACCCCCATTCCTTCCCTGTCTTTTAATGGCTGAGGAAGCTTTTTTCTCTCAAAGGATTTACTCTTTGTTCCCGACTCCACAGCCCCACTACGGCCTGGCCTAGAGGCCACCCCACCGCCAGTGAGGAGAGGGGCTCAGCTATTCCACATGCCCTCAGAGCTGAATGCTTCTGCCTGTTCCCCCTCGCTGCTCCCTGGCATCAGCCCTCCCTGCCCATTATCCGGCCTCAGTTCATGATTGACAGGCCTTGCTTCACTGCCATCATGCTACCCATAATGGCCTTGCACTTCAAGTCACTCGGCCTGACATCTGTTGTGGATCAGCTCTGAGCAGGACACTGTGTAGACATGGGGTAGAGGACAGGTGGGTGACCAATGATCATTTCTGGCTTCAGGTTGCTTACAATAAGTCTTATGGGGAAAAGATGTCTGGGGAAGACAGAACATTTCCCAGATTGAATGTGCCTCCGATAATGCGAGGAGTGGGGACACTGTGGCTAGGGGACATGGGGCCACTTCAGGGAACACAGGGCTGGAGAGAACCTGGAAGGCCAGGAGTGAGGTCAGGAGGCACAGAGAGGGTGGCTGGCAGCTCACAGGGAATGAGTCCTGGGGCAAATACTGCCTCCCTCCCCTCCACCTCTTCCCACAGCCCAAGGGGTCCCAGGGACACCTGCCTCCCAGCCCACATCTCACCTTTCGGATGAAGGTGTGTCGGACTTTCCTGTCGTCCCAGTCTCCAGGCCCAAAGTTGTCACTCACTGCTCTCTCCTCCCCGCCATAGCCCTCGCCTGGGCCTGGGGACAGAATACGTATGACCAACTGGGGACCTGGGACACATGGCCCCAATCCCAAAGCTCCTCATACACACTCTCCCCTGGAAAAGTGTCAGGTCTCTCCAGTCAAAGACGAATGCTACGACTTAGGAACTCCTCTCCCAAGCCAGGCCCTCTCGAGGCGCTCGGTGCCCCAGAGCTGGCCTGGGCACCAGTAGAGCGTGTGACCTGCAGTGAGGAGCTCAGGTGTGAGCCATTCCATCAGCATCCATCTATAGAGGGTCCTGTGTGCCCAGCACACACCTGGGGGCCCACAGGGGCACAAAAGCACATGGTCCCTCCTGTCCAGGGGCTCCCAATCTAGGGGGCAGCCAGGCAGGAATAGGCCTGGAGCATCAGCCAGGGTCCTTCCTGATAAGCAAGGTGTCCAGCGCATGGGTAGGAATTGGCTGGGTCAGAGCAGGGGACTGAGGGTGCGGAAAAGGAGGGTAGAAAGCACTGTGTATATGCGTGAGCAAGTGCATGCACACGTAGGTCAGGGAACAAGGTGCAAGGGCCGGGACTGACATCAAGCTTCCCAGGGGCCTCTCAGGGCAGAGCAAACAGTAAGGCCTCCCGGGACAGGTATGTCAGGTGTGTACATGCCCAGGACGTGGTAGGACTAAAACGTCCCTGATTAGTGCCTGTCTGCCTGGAATATGGACACCCAGAGAGGGTTGGCCATACTCTTGCTCCAGGATTCCAGGGATGCCCTGAGAGCTCAGAACATTCCTTAAATGCCTCCTTGGGGACTGCTTTTAAAGCCCATGTATGAGTCACCGATATAACGTTCCACCACGTTCCTATTTCATCTCATTTCTGACCAGCTACAGCCTCTACCTGCCACTATGTTTATCAAACTCGGCTCCACATGACTTTGGGATGTTTGCAAAATCAGATATTTTACCTTAAAGAATGAGATTTGTCACAAAGGCTGTATTTAAAAAAAAAAAACGTGCACTGGGTTTCAAAGGCATTCCCTAAGGATGATGGCAAGTCTGGGTGGGTGGCAGCTGCCCTGTTGAGAAACAAGGAAACAGTCCCCGAAGGCAACCACACTGAGAATCACCCAACCACTCTGTCATCTGGATGGGCAAGTTCTGATGAGGGGCTTATGGACTCATAAAGGGGCTAGCAGGTGGCTGAGGAGCTAGGTGCTAAGGGAAAAAGTAGAATGGTAAGATGGGAACAGAAAGAGAAGACGAGAGAAAGGGATTAAACGGGAAGTTAAGGAAAGCAACAATAGGAGGGGGCCTTATCTGCTGCAAATGCTTCTCCCCCCACCCCACCTGCCCCTCGAGGACTCACCGTAGTTCATGGGCATTGGGTGGATGGGGGGCATAGGCTGTGGGTAGCCAGCAGGGTGACCGTAGCCAGGCTGCGTGTAGGCAGGGTAGGCAGGGTACCCGCCTGGGAGGACAGACGGTTGTCCATAGCCTCCGGAGGGTGGAGGGCCAGGGTAGAGGGGGTTGCGGTCCTCATACGGAGGTGGGGCACTGGGGCTGGACATGGCCGCTCAAGGGCTGAGGACCCTAGCTGCTCGGATCTAAAACTGGAAACAAGAAAAGCAGTTATGAGTGGCCAGGTCCAGCTCACTCAGCCAACACACCTCCCTTCCAGCCCCAGCCCAGCCATCTCTGTGGGGAGGAGCCCCTCAGACTCTCTCTAGGTCACAGCATATCCCTCTCTGCCCACCAGCCATCCCCTCCATCCCCACCAGCTACCAGCTCAGCCCCTGGCCCTCCTGCTAGCTTTCTGGCCCCGGTGCTCTCTTTACTGTGCCGCTCCCTGGCCAAGGTAAGCAGCAGGAGGAAGATTTAGTTCAGCAGCCCAGAGGATTTTCTAAGCATCAGTGATATGAGATATGGGGAGCCAGGGGGAACGCAGGAACTCCCTTGTTCTCAGTTAAGAAAACCTCCCAGTGTTAGGGACTTGATGTCAGAATCAGAGAAGCAGCCGGATGGCCCCAGCAAAGGCTCTCTGGTGAGTCACAGGGCCCGCTGAGGCCCACTGAAGGGGTCAGCCCAGCCCCCACGGCAGCTGGGAGAAGCACCAGGCCTAACGCCAGAGCTGGGGCAGGGCCAAGGCTCCGAGCGAAGAGCTGGAGGAACAGGAAAACAAACTGGCCCCTGTGCCAGAGCTGCCAGGCCCTGGAGGGGGAAGGGACCAGGGGACTGGAGGACCAGTGGACCAGGGCAGGCTGAGTCAGGAGAAGCCTGAAAGGCCTGGGTGAGTGGGTACCCAAGGCTGGCCGCTGGGGGCTGGGAGCTGTGCAAACAGGCAAGCCTGAGACAGGACTTTCTGGTTTCTTCAAATAACAGCTGTGACACATCAGACAGACGTGTGGCAGTGTGTGCGGCTGCGACTGCTCTCTTTACTGTTGATAGTGTGTGCAGGGCCCCAAGGCCCCCTAAGAGAGGGAGACACACTCTCCAGAGAACCCCAAGGTCTGGAGCCTTTGTGAATCCCACCTGTCTTTTCCGCAGGGGTAGTGGCTGATGGGAAGGCGAGAGAGCTGAAGGGTCCTGCACAAAGGCAAGTTAGCACTTTCTCTGCAGTAGGAAGATTGCACAGCCAGGGAAGGGCCATGGAAGCAGGAAGAGGGCACCCCGGAAACAGAGCTACAAGGGACCTCGAGGTGGGGTAGCCTCCAACGCTCACCCTAGATGGAGGAGTAGGCCCAAACAATATAATCCCCTGGAACACAGAACTCACAGGCTAGTGGCATAAACAGAATGGAGGGCTTCAGGGTCCTGGGGGGGTGTCCCCTATGCTGTTCTTTATGCCGCTTCTGCCAAATGAATGTCCTTTAAGCCTGGTGTCCCTCTGAGGTGGTAGAGATGGAGGTCCAGGAATGGCTCAGAATGCTGTCCCCTGAAGGCCCCTGAGCCCTGGGAGGGAAGAGCCCTGACAGAGTCTAAGCACCTTGACGGGTCCACCACCCCCCCCCGAGTACTTCCCAAGACTCAGGCCTTCAGCACCCCACAGGGAGGAGGCACCCCCAAATCCAGGTCAGCAGGCACCCTCAGAGCCTCTACTGGAAGGAAGCGAGAACTGGCTTCTCTTTGTAGGGCACCCTCAGAGCTGGGTAGTTGCAGGGGGGTCAGATACAGGATGGTCTTATCTCTTCTCTCCTTTCTCATGGCAACTGGGAGAACCAGAGAAGGAAGGGCGCAGGGAGCTGGGGGAGTCAGGTAACAGGCCAGGTCTCTAAGTGGGTTATTTTGAGGACAGCTTTTCTCTATCTCCCCTGAGTAAATGGGCCAGAGCCAAAGCTGGCATGTGCTGGGTCAGAAATAAAGGCCTTCCTGACAGCGAGGGGTGTGGGGCAGCAAACCAGGGCCTCAAAAGAGGGTAGTGGTAAAGGTCCCTCCTAGGGTACCAGCCAGCCAGGAGCTGAGCCAGCCAACCCTGAGAACTCCAGGCACAAAAGAGAACATGGAGAAGGCTAAGATTTCTAGTGCTGTGAGTTTAAGAAACAGAGATATTAACTGCTTTGGAAAATGTTTTTGGAAAAAAGCTATAACTAGTTATAATTTGTGAACTGCTTTAACAGAATTAAAAAAGAAAAGTGAGCTGCCCTCCCTGGAGTAAGAGGCTCCTCCTCCCCACACCCTCCTATCCCTTCCCCACTGAAAACCACCTCTTCCTCCACAAAGAGAACAGCATCCTCTTTGGATGGAGGAAGGGGCACAGGGCAGGTCACCTGTGGAGCAGGGTTATCTGTCATTATTGCCATCATCTCAGCACCCCAGGCCCATGTGACATCCACCATCAGGGTGGTGGTACCCAGGTGGCTGGCTGAACACAGCCCAAGAGGCACTGGCAGGAAAGGCCTAGAGTTGGAAGTGAAGCCACCAAAAATGGCATGACCATGACTGGGTCATCCCTGCCTCAGGTGGCAGCTCTGTGAACTGAGGTAGGTGGGCCAGATGATTGCTGAGCTCACTGCCAGCTCTGACACACTGTGATCCTGGGAATTATCTGAGCGACCAGCTCTGTGGGCCAGCCCTTTGCCCAGCCAGACGCCTGCCCCACCCTCCCTCCTCTAAGCTAAGCAGGGTAAACAAGTCCCTACCCAGACCAGAGGGGCTGCAGCCATGGTCAAGGGTGACACACAGAGAAAGGTCTGAAAGGTCATGCTGGGATGAGCCACCAGGACTCCAGGGTTCGGGTCCAGCTCAGCAGGCTACTGACTCACAGACTCCCCCGTCCTCTCCCTCACCCCTCTCCTCTCACTCTGGGTTTCTGAGGAACTCACCAGTAACCTGGCCTCAGCCCCCAGCCCATCCTATCAGAGCACCACAGACCACCTCACCTTCCTATGCCTCAGTTTCTTCGCCTGAAAAGTGGGTTTAATGCTAATAAAAGTATCCTCCACGGGTTGTTGTAAAAAATGAGAATATACAGAACCCAACCCCTGATAAACAGTGAATGTTAGCTATTTTTAGTTCCTGTTTCATTAAATCCTTACAATAGCACCGGACATACTCTTATTATTATACCCACTTGCAAATGAAGGAATTGAGGCTCAGAAGGAATTAGGTAACTCACTCAAGGTTCCCTAGCTAGGGTGTGATGGAGTCAAGACTTGATGGCCACAACCAACTCTTAATCACTCTGCTCTAATCCCTCATGGACACCCTGCCTGTCCTAACTTCTCATCACTTCTACCATGGCTTGCTGTCAGACCCTGTAATGACAAACCACAGGGTTGATGACAGAAGATTTACACAGAAGTGGATGCCAAGTGAAGCCCAGCCCTCCCACCTTCCACCATTCCTCAACCATCCAATCGCCACAAGGAGAAAGAGGTGGTTCAGGGCTGCTGTGAGTTGCCATGGAGTCGATTCTGACTCATGGTGATTCCTGTGTGAAGAGGAGAACTGCTCCATAGGGTTTTCAAGGCTGTGACCTTTCAGAAGCAGGTTGCCAGGCCTGTCTCCCAAAACTAGCAGTCTAGGGCCTAACCGTCTAAGCCACAAAGGCACTTTGGTCCCGAGCTAGAGCCATGAATGGCACAGGTGAAAGGAAACACAGTCATCTAAGGCAGCTAGTCCCCTCACTACCAGCCAGCTAAGTGCAGTGCAGGCAGGTGACCTGTCCTGGGACAGGAAAAGTAGAGAGACTCCTGGTGTTGAGGCCAGTCAGGAGAGGTGCTAAAGTCACCCTCACGTCTAAACAATGCCAGGAAAAACACTGCCAGACCGGCAGGAACCTGGGGGCCTGGGGTCAGCTCTGCCTCAGCAGCTTCGGAGCCTGCTCCCTGGCTCCTGCCCGACCTATGTGAGGGCCCTGGCCACGTCCACATCACTCAGGCCTCGCCTAGGGATGAGGCTGGAGGCTGGCATCTGCCAAGCTTGGAGGGAAAGGGGGACATGGGCAGTATTTACTCTCCTAGCTATGACTGAAGGCAAGAGCCAGAGAAGACTGGAGAGGAGAGAGAGGGAGGAGGGCAGGAAGAAGACCAAAGCCAGAGTGAGGATGATGCCCAAGAGTAGAAAGCAGGTCGTCTGGACTCTGCTGGGAAGTATCGAGGGGCTGACAGTCTCCAGAAGCTAAAAGGACTTTCCCACCGGAAGCCTACATTTTCCTAAATACAACAGGCGTCCCGCTTCTGTTGGAACAAACTCTAGTTAAGGGAACAAACACGCTGGGTCTGCAGGCAGCTAGGATCCCTAGCACATTCTTCCTCACAGTGGCTGTTACAGAAGCATTGGGACTCTGCCCCGTCCTCGCCACGTGATCTAAGTTTGTCCTCCCTCTCTCGCTCACTCGCGCGCTCTCTCTCTCTCTCACACACACACCCTAGACCACACCAGGAAGATGCCAGGGTCCCAAGGCCCAACCTGGGATGACCACAGCAGTGGCTGGGCTCCAACAGCAGGACCTGTAGACAGACCTGTTGGAGTCTGCAGATGCAGAGTGAGGAAGGGATCCCCTTACCCTGGAGCCACCTAAGTAGGTCAGTAGGGTGACCATGCCCCCAGCCTGCTGAGGCCCAGGCTCAGGCATCTGAAGGGTTAAAGCTCTGGGATCTGCAGAAAGCTGGCCTGAGCTGCTGGGGTTACAGCAAAGGGTGTGTGTTAGAGGGAGGGACAGAGAGGAGGAGCTGACTAGTCCAGGCCTCCTGCCCGCCTGCCTGCCAGGAACGGATGCCCAGAGCCAGAATGGAAAGAACAGCTCAGAGTGTGCATCGCAGGGAACCCCACCCAGCGGGCACTGAGCATGGCCCCGGCCTTCTGTGTTCAGGGCTCTGACAAGCTCCTGTCTTCCCTTTTCCTCACCCTATGCCCTAGCTCTTCAAGTCCTCCTGCCCCACCCCCCAGCACATAGCCCTAAGGGCAGAGGAGGAAAACCGTACACTCAGGATGTCTGGGTAAGTCACAAACCTGATGCAAGCAAGGGCCAAAAAAAACCCCACTGCCATCGAGTCGATTCTGAGTCATAGTGATCCCCACTGGGTTTCCAAGGCAGTAACTCGTTACAGAAGTAGATTGTCCCATCTTCCTTCCATGGAATGGCTGGTGGGTTTGAACCGCCAACCTTCTGGTTAGCAGTCAAATGCCTTAGGCACTGAACCACCAAGGGGCCTTAACATCCTGTAACAACTTAAGTCTTGTGTCACCATGGCCTCTGGGGTTAAGAGGATGGTGCCAACCTAGATACTGAAGTATCAGTGGGAATGCACTTGAGAAATCCTAGTCACATTAGACAAGGCAACCCCAAGGCTGAGAAGGTTCCTGCCCAGGGCCATGACAGAACCCCCATCCTGGTCAGGGTTTAGAGCTTCCCTTCCCAGCCCTGCCACTGAGTGTCAGCGCCCTGCCCACTGTGTCAGACTAATGACCCAAGCACACACACCCAAGGAGAAGCCAGGACAAGCCTCCCATGCCCCCATTCCCCCAGGTGCTTCCTGCTCAGAAACAGATCAGGCTGCCTACCAGCTATGCTCTCCCCCAGCTGTAAGCCATCTCATCCAGTCCTGTCTCCAGGCAGAGTAACCACTCTCCAGACCCAGAGCCAGACAGGCGTGCCTCCAGGGAAGGCTGGGTGGCTCTGGACAGCACGTGTGTAACAGAGCAGGCGGGTGCAGAGACCCCAACCGACCCAGAGTCAGGACAGCTTGGGCGTGCAGATAAGGAAAGAGGGAGCCCTTAACAGGGGCCAGGTGCCGCTTCTGAAGCATAGCTCTTATGCACCACCCTCTGTGTTTCATCCCCCCCTCCCCCGCTGTCTTTGCAGTTGAACTTTAAGATGGGGGTGGGGGGGCAGTGGAATGTGAGAGATAATTAACCACCCAGGATGGAGAATGGAGACCACCCTACCCTGTAGGTGGGCAGGGAAGGAAGGGAACGCATATTTACTTTGTACTCAGCAGCAGGTACCTTATTGTTAGTTACCTTCCAGTCAATTCTGACTCATAACCCATGTATGCAGGGTGGATCTGCTGCACAGGGTTTTCAAGGGTTTTATTGTTGGAAGCACATCAGCAGGCCTGTCTTCAAAGGCCCCACTGGCTGGCTTTGAACCACTAACCTTTCGACTAGTAGTCTGATGCACATCTAATCCTCACAGCAGCTTATATTACGACCCCCATTCTGCAGATGAGAAAACTGAAATTCAGAGAAAAATGGATCTAAGGTCCCACAGCAGGCAAACAGAAGAGAAGGGATTTGAACACAGATCTGCAGTCTGATTTTTGATCCATGCCCTTTCCTTGTACACCTGGCTGGAGCAAAAGTCCCTGAAGCAGCCCCACCAGTGAACAGGCCAGCATGTGGGGTTGGGGGGAGGTTGTGAAGATCAAAAACGGCAGGAAGACACTGAGCGAGTTTGCTGTTGGACACCAATTCCTTTTGCCTATTGCAAAGTTGATCCTATGCTAAAGCCCTGGGTCAGGAGGCAGGGACCTGAGTTCTGCTCTGGCTCTAGTCCTATCTGTGTGTGTGAGTCAGGTAACCCACTTCACATCTCGAAACTCCGTTTTCTCATCTGTGAAGCAAGCACCCTAAATGGACACCAAAGTCCATTCCAACTCTGACAGTCTCTGATTCTGAGTGAATCACCTGCTTCCCAAAGAAGCTACACTAGGGAGTCTACTGATACAAAGCTGGTCCAGGGGAAGGCTGCATGAGTCTGGTATGGGTATGGCCATACTCTTTCCCTCCCATGTCCCATTACCATCGAGTCAATTCCGACTCACAGCAACCCTATAAAAAAACTAAACTGCCTCTTAGGGTTTCCAAGGCTATAATATTTACAGAAGCAGACTACCTCATCTTTCTCCCACAGAGTGGCTGGTAGGTTCAAACTGCTGACCCTCCAGTTGGCAGCTGAGCACTTACCCACTGCACCACTAGGGCTCCTCTCCTCCCATAACCCACTACCATCGAGTTGATTCTGACTCACAGTGACATTGGATTTCCAAGGCAGTAAATCTTCATGGCAATAGACTGCCCAGGCTTCCTTCTGCGGAGTGTCTGGTGGGTTTGAACCGCCAACCTTCTGGTTAACAGTCAAATGCCTTAGACACTGTGCCACCAGAGCTCCTCTCTCCTCCCATAGTGTTCCCGTAATTCTCTCTGGATCCTAAGACTAGCTTCTCTTGGGCACTCACTCACCTACAGCCCACAGAGAAACAGCAGACACTAGAAAGGAAAGAACATTAGGCAGGAAGCCAAGAGACCCAAGTTCAGGTTCTAACTTGGCCAGTAACTGCTATGGGAACCCAGACGCAGGACACACTCAGCTTCCTCTCCTCCATCTGGGAATGAGGGCTAACTGAGCTTGGTGGGGGAGAGGAGAAGGGGTTAATTCACCCAGAACTAAAGAGTAGAGCTCCAGAATCCTCTAGGCATTTCCCAAACTGTGGTCTAAGGGATGCTGCCCCAGGGAGATGCTGATGGGTGAGTTCTGAAAACAGGCGTCTGAGAAGCAATGTTGCAACCCACATCCCCTTCTTGGAAAGTCACAAGGCACAATGACATATATATTCAGCCTCCGAGAAGTCCAGCAATAAGTAAACCTGGTTAACTGTATTTAACCCAGTGTTGCTTCAAACTTCCTTAAGCCTGAAACACTTTTTATCAAGTCACACCTATTAATGATGCGGAGGGGAGGAGGGGATGCTGCTACAAGCCACCTTTGTTTTACAAAGACCCAGCCTGAGAATGATTCTAGTCTTAACACTTATCTTAAAACCTCTAATCTTAACCTAGCCCCTCAGAACCATCATATGAAGTACCAGGCATATCCCTGCTCCCCTACATAAAATTCCAGACAGCTGTTGCTGTAACACCACAGTGGGATTTACTGTCAAGGGTTAGGAGACATCTCCAACTAACATAGAACCAGAATGCCAGCATCCCTAACATCGCCTCTGTGTGACTGAAAAAAGGTACAGATCTCATTCTGTACAACAGTAAGGGCTCCTTACTGTCTTCCTCCCTGACCAGTGGACTGGGTGCTCTCTAGGTACCCAGCGCTGTGACAGGTGAACTTCTGGATATTTCTACTTCAAAACAAGGTCCAGGTTTTGGCCTAGAGTCCCAGCATCTTAGGGCTGAAAGATTCTGTCAAAGTCATCCCCCTCCACAGCATTCCCCACAGAATGCCCACGTCACATGAGTGACGATATGGTTACCTACATTGTTAGCAGAGGTCTCCCCAGTGACATGTATAGGCTTCCATTCTCTGGCCCTGAAGCATGAGTGTCCCTTCTCTGTGGCTTCTGGGCTGGGAGCTTCTGCTCCTTCTGAAGGGCCAGATGGGAAGTCTTGGGGATGGACATGCCCTGAGACAGACAGCTTCTGGCTGAGGTCATTCCCAAGGAAGGTGACTAAGTCGAGGTGTCACTACCCCGGCTCATGACATGAGGCTTTCCCTACACTTACGGTATAACCCGTCATTACCTCCCTGACATGCCCACTTTTACAAGTGAGGCCCTGAAGTCATGGCACAAGAAGCCAGAAGAAGCCAAAGCCCTTGACACCGGTACCAGCCACGTCTTTCCAAGTTATACCCTGGGACTTTGTCTGGGTCCTCATGACTGGAGACAGGGAGCGCAGGCAGGTGAAGGAGGATGGTGCCCCCTTTGCCCCAGATCAAGCAGCCCCTAGGAAACACCTGGCACCCCTGCCACTACTGGCCAGGCCAAAGGCGCCAGCTTTGAAACCAAAGCTCACCAATGAGATGAATATTTCAGAGCCACAGAGAACTGGACACCCGAGGGACCTGAGGCTCCAGCTCTGACCTTGGCCCCCAGGCTGACCCCCTGCTTAGATCCCATGTCCAGGATTCCCAGGCAGGACTCTGACCCCCTGGATCCCCCTCAGAGCCACAACGGAGTGAGAGAGGACAGAGACCCCGCAGGATAGGAAATGATGAAGAACAAGATCAGGCCCAACACTCTTCAACAGCCTTCTACTTCTTCTCCCACCCTTCCCCTCTGGCTCCTTCCCCCATGGTCTCCGTTTGCTTTCGCTTTCCTATTCCTGTTTCAGGAGCTCTGGTGGCGTAGTGCCTAAGGCATTTGACTGCTAACCAGTAGGCTGGCAGTTCAAACTCACCAGCCATTCCTCGGAAGGAAGGTTGAGCAATCTACTTCCCTAGAGAAACCTTCTCGGAAACTCAAGGAGGGGTCGCGTTGAGTCGGATCCGACTCGATGTTAGAAAGAGAGAGTGAGTGAGTGAGCGGGTGAGTATTCCCGTTTTGGATTTACTCTGACCCAGAGACCACATTCAGCAGCTTTTTAAACTAGCCCAGGGGGCAATGGCTGGAAGCAGGGCCGGCTGAGGCAAGGTCATGGTAGCAGGGGCGGCCACTGACCCGCGCTCAAGGGCCTGGTGTGTCCCCTGGCTTCCACCTTAGCGCCGGGCTAGGCCCTTCCCGACTCATACTCAGTCACCTGTTTACAGCAAGGCGGGCACCGAGCTCGGTACCAGGCCCTGTGCTGCCTCCCCTCCTCCTCCTCCCACCAGCTGAGGCCCATGACAGTCCTCATCCCACACCCGGCTGGTCACTCGGGGGTTGGGCGTGGACACGCCCTGCGGCAGGCCGCTCGCGTCCGAAAGAGGGGGGCATGAGAACACCCCAAACTCTGGCCCGCGCACAACCGCTCCCCAGGCTATACAGGCACCACATGCCCAATGCGCACAGGGCAAGCGAAACTCCAACAGTGCTGGAAGAGTCCCATTCCGACGCCGATTCCAGGGGCCGGAGCGGACCGGCCGAGACGAACTCCCGGAGCGGATCGTGCACTCCGGCAAAGTTTGGTGGCCCGGACCTGGCGCCACACCGGCCCCGCCGGCCCGCAGGCCCCAACCCCCGGCGGCTCCAGCCCCTTGGCTTACCTGGGCCGCTCCCGACCGTGCGTTCCGGGCCTTCGGGTGTCTCGAGTCCGGCTCGGGCTGGGATGGGCTAGGCTGGGCTGGGCTCCGGCTCCGCACCCCGCCCCGTCCTCTTGCGCCGGCCGCGCGGGCGGAGCCGCCCCTTGGGGCGGGGCCTCGGGGAGCCGCCAGGGGGCGCTGGAAGGCAGCCTGGAGGACGCCGGGGGTCCGCCCACGTCCCACCCGCTTGACTCGGCAGCCGCGCGCTTCCGGTGACCTGGTCCGCGTTTTACTAATAGCGTTGGTGGCAGTTTTCGGAGTTGGAAGGCAATACAGGATCCTGATAGAACTTCAGGGAACAACTGCTCTTCACTCCCAAATCCCAACGGGAAGCACTTGGAGCAGTGCTCCTTTGCCTACGTGTCTTGGACTTGTTTTTCTAGAGTGAGGGCGTACTGTATGTTTCGTTTATTGCTGCGTTTTACTTAACATTTTATCAAGAGCAATTTTGGCCACTAAATGTTCTTTAAATGCATACTTTTAATGCTTCAAGATATCGAAAAGCTATGCTCTGATTTTTTAAACCAGTTTCCTACTGAAGGACGTTTATGTTATTTCCTACTTTTCATTATAAATCCAGTGATGAACACCCTTTCCACTTCTGTGCTTTGAAACGAAATCCACTTCTCAAGTTTAAAACTTCCAACGTCCAGGAAGAAAGATGGCACTTAGAACCTCTGTCTTTGGGAAATAGAGTATTTCCTTCTTGAAATTACTTGAACCAGGAAAACAAGTGCTAAAGTGAAAAGTCCTAAACTGAAAATAGACTACCCGCCACGGAAACCCAAGGAGGGGTCGCTATGAGTTGGGTCCGACTGGACCAAACAACAACAACAACACAATAACCCCGCCCCTACCCCCCCAAAGAAAGCCAAACCTATTGCTGTGTCGGGTCGATTCTGACTCAGCCATCCTACAGAACAAAATAGAATTGCCCTATAGAGTTTCCAAGGCTGTAAATCTTTACAGGCGCATATGGCCACACTTTTCTTCTGTGCGGCAGCTGGTAGGTTCAAACTGCCAACCTTCTGGTTAGCAGCTGAGCTGCTTAACCACTGCACCATCAGGGCTCCTGGATTACTAATATTAATGCACAAACTTGGTCTGGGGACTTTGCATCCATGTCTCAACCCTAACAGCCACCCATATTATAATTCCATCTTACGGGTGAGGAAGGGGCTCTGGTAGCACAGCGCCTAAAGCATCTGACTACTAACCAGAAGGTTGGCAATTCAAACCCACCACCCACTCCACAGAAGCGAGACTGGGCAATCTACTTCTGTAAAGATTTACTGACTTGGAAGCCCAATGGGGTCACTCTGAGTCAGTCAACTTGATGGCGGTGGGTTTTGTTTTTGTTTTTACAGATGAGGAAACAAGTCCAGGGAAGTTTTGAAATGTCACCTGAGTTTGCTTCCCAACCCAAAACCCAACCCACTGCCATCAAGTCAATTCTGACTCATAGCAACCCTATAGGACAGAGTAGAACTGCCCCATAGGGCTTCTAAGTCTGTAAATCTTTCTGAAAGCAGACTGTCATACCTTTCCCTCATGGAGTGCTGGCAGGTTCCAACCACTAACCTTGTTGTTAGTGTCACTGTGCCACCAGGACTCCCTTGTGTGGTTCCAAAGTCTATGTTCTTTCCATGATGCCAAAGCTGTTCTAGATGAGCAGGCTTAAAGAGCTTATCTCGTGCTAATAGCTACCAATCTGCACCCCCACTAAAGGTAAAGGCCTTTCACAGCCTGTCGCCACTTCCGTTTTGAGCGGGCAGGGGTTGACTTGACAAAACACAGCTTGAAATGTACACAGCTAGACAATTCAGACCACCTGAGCCCCTCCTGAGTCCCAAGCCCATCACCAGGCATTTTCACTTACTTTGGTATCTGTAGTGGCCACATCCAGCTCTTTTATGGAGCAAGATTTATGAAGGCAGGGCCTGGGGACTTATCTGGAAGCTATTTTGCATGGTAAGCATAAGTGAAACCAGTGTACTTACTACTAAGCATAGTAAGTAAAGTTTTCACTTAGATTGTGTATTTCAGGTCAGTTCAAATAGAGACTATAAAATTGCATTTCCCTCACACTCTAAATATGTTTACTTAGATAGATAGAGTTTAAGTAGGAGTTACTTAGGGGGACTAGTGGACATTATGGAAGGGTAACTCCCCCCGTCAGTCCAATCCAGAGGCAGATAACTTAATAAGAAAGGGAAGTGTAGGCTTACTTGTGCACTCATCTGTAGTCAACAGTTGCACATGATTCTCACTACATCACTACACTATTCACAGTGTAACCATTCACTGCAGATGAGTTAGTAAGCACAAGTAAGCCTTGCTTATCTTGTTTACTGGGTACTCTGTCCATCCCTGTCCAAACTCACTGCCATCAAATCGATTCCAACTCATAGTGACGCCCATTGTGTTTCCAAGGCTATAAATCTTTCCAGAAGCAGACTGCCCCATCTTTCTTTCACGGAGCAGCTGGTGGGTTCAAACCACCAACCTTTTGGTTAGCAGCCAGATGCCTTCACCACAACACCACCAGTCCCTGTCAGGGATTGTAAATTTGAAAAGAGGCTTTGGTTCTGCAAGAAGGTGCTGTGGGGGTGAGAGGGAGACAATGCCAGCCATACCTAGAAGTAGAATCTTTGATGTGGTGAAAAAATACAAAAGCATTCACTAAAGTTTAGTAAGTACCTTACCTTGTTTATTGGGTAATTCGACACTAATATATTCATTGTCCCATGTAATAATTGATAATAATAATAATAATAGCTCACTGCCATCAAGTTGATTCCAACTCATAGCAACTCCAATTGGGTTTCCAAGGCTGTAAATCTTTACAGAAGTAGATCACACCATCTTCCTTCCATGGAGCAGCTGGTGGGTTTGAACTGCTGGCCTTCTGGTTAGCAGCCAGATGCCTTATCCACTACACCACCAGAGCTCCTTATTTGAGAATAATTTTGGGTATTATTTGAGAATACTTATACTAAAAAAAAAGGAGTTCTGGTAGCATAGTGCCTAAGGCATTTGACTGCTAACCAGAAGGCTGGCGGTTCAAACCCACCAGCCACTCCTCGGAAGGAAGGTTGGG